TCCGAAATTGGATTGGACAATTTTTATATTGTCTTTATTTATTTTTATTAGCCAATCAGAGGATTTTTATCCATGCTTCCCCCGATTCTATATTTAAATATAACCACCAATAAAATCACATCATCAACAATTACACCAATAAAAAATCACACCTCAATCAAACAAAAAACTCACTGGACTAACACCACGGTCCCTCTTGTTAAATAGATGCACAGCCCTAACGGTTCGATAGAATTGGATAAAATTTTGCAAAGACTAGTATTATGCCTCTACGAACAAAGCTACAGAGCCATTTCTTTTGTTTAAGCATGAAAAAAAAACTTTAATCTACAAGTGAAAACCTAATTTGGTTTCTTATTTAAAGAAATGGCTCTGTAGCTTTGTTCGTAGAGGCATAATACTAGACTTTGCAAAATTTTATCCAATTCGTTAGGGTTGTGCATCTATTTATAAAATTATTACCTAGTTAAAAAATCTATATTAATAAATTTTATTATATGACCATATATAGTTTTGATTTACATAGTACACCGCACACCCCAACGTCTCGTGTTTAATTATATATGTTGTGCCTCAGACTAACGCTTGCCTCAGATCACAGCTGAAGCACCTCCGATTCAGATCGTCAGGTGAGGTGCGTAAGCTATTGATCTATCATCTAAACTGCAATCTGACGAAAGTAAGAGAGTAAAATAAAAGACTTTTTGACTTGAACGTTTTTTTTTATTCTTGCTTTCTATATCTTTGAATCATTTTGGCGTCGTCTTATTTCCAGAGCATTTTTTTTACATTAAGCCTCTTCAGCACCTTCATTCTTTTTTTTTAAATTTCTTTGCCCGAATTTTCGTGGCACATTCTATTTCCAATTAATATGTACTTTTTTTCTATACGTACCGTTTTTTTTTTTTTGCCTAAATTTTCACTGCATACTCTTCCTGTTTAAGTTTTCTCAGCACGTTCAATTTCGATAATACTTTTTATTCAATGACCGATCGATAGGTTACGCATCTCACCTAACAATCTACATTTGAGGTGCGTCAGCTGTGATCCGAGGCAAGTGTTAGTCTGAGGCACAACATATACATAGAATATTAATCTAAGCCTTATACAATGTGAACGTGCTAAATATTTGATTGGACAGATGTGTGTTTAATAATAATAATGTATATAGAATAGAATATTTGATGACAATATTGACTAATAATTTATAATTGACAATTGATGATGATATATATATACTATATATACTATATACCGTTGAACCTCCCAAAACCGGTACGCATGGTGGACAGATTTTGTACCGATATTGAGAGGTTATCAGATTTGAAAACATTATAAACTATTAGATTTGTATAACGGAAACGGACTTGGTAGACTAACTTTTTATCAGATTTGTCAGGTTATCGATTTTGAGAGGATCGATTTTGGGAGGTTCAACAGTATATAGTAATATTTTATTTAATACAAACTTTAACAAACAATGAAAATCCGCCCTGATACAGAGTTAATATTTATGATAAATAATGCCGAACTCGTATTTAGATATTAGAATTTTGTTTCATAAAACAACCACCCATCTTACAGGATTACACTAAATTTTAATTCTATGTTGAAACAAGTATTCGTAATGAGGTTTGCTTTCAGCAATCAAGTCGTAAACAAGTTGGGGATATTCAATTTCTTCATCATTATTGATTGCTTTGTCAAATCCTGTGCTTTTCATTGCATTCCTATTTTATATGATAAATATATAGTTAATATATGAATAGAAAAATTAAAATAGAGTTCCTTTCCATTATCCGTTTATCCATTTATCTATTGGATATCCAGATCTGAATTTATTTATTGATATCCGGATAATTATCCGAATATTTGTCGGATTACCCGGATACTAATAGTAAATGGATATCCGGATAAATTCAGATATGGATAAATGGATGACGGATTTATCCAGATTAGACCTCTAAATTAAAATGAAATAATAAACATACTCATGCCACAAATCTGTAAGGTGGTGTAAATTTGGCATTTCTTTTTTATACCACATTTCCACTTTTTCTGCTTTCCATTCAAGCATTTCTTTCTTAAACTCTACGTTTACTATCTCACAATATTTTCTCAAAATTTTTTCTGGTTCTCGAACTAAATCATCAGCGTCCACTACTGCAATCTCCTCTCCAGTTACGTTCTTAATTAAATCATAAAAAATTCTTGGTTCTTTGAGCCCAATATTCCTAGAGGAGAAAAAGTCAATTCTTTCAGAATTAGGTACGCCATTTCTATCCCAAACTTTATATACAGAATTTGCAGCTTTGTAATAAGACTTTAAGGATTTTTCTGGATTTCTAATTAAGAATGTATGTTTAAATTTTGAAAGAATTTCCTTTGATCGTAATTGAGTTCCTTCTGATGCGTCTAAAAAGGAAACTACATGCTCTTTTACAAAAACTCTTAAGGTATTTGTTTTATCTTCGTTATAATAATGAGGGGCAAGAAATTCATTAAAAATAGGTGAGAAATGATGTTTAAAAGTGATCGGGTCAGTAGGTTTAGGCATCGGAATTTTATTCAAAAATTCAAAGTTTTTGGCATCGTAAGCAAGACGAATTAGAACAAATGGTTCATGGATAACATGGAACTCTTGAGGACATTGAAAAAACGGTCGCTCAAAAACTGTAGAAAGAGACCTCGGATGAGCCCAAAGAATAATGGGTCTTTGATCTGCCATCTTGAATGAAAAAATTGCAATACGCAATCAACTTAGTTTATTATTTATAAAATTCAGCTCGTGAAAATCTGACCAGATATAGATCATATATAATAATGTCATTATTGTACTATCAGGTTTTTAAAGGCCAAATCTGGTAAAAAATAAATTATAAAATTGAAGGCCTGAAGTAAGATTTACTCCTCTTATTTATAATAATGTCATAGATGTTATTATTGTACTATCAGGTTTTTAAAGGCCAAATCTGGTAAAAAATAAATTATAAAATTGAAGGCCTGAAGTAAGATTTACTCCTCTTATTTATAATAGTTCATCAATCGGAATAACAATTTATATATTATTTATCTATATTAGGGTAGCTGCGCAGCGTGTGACGCGGCGCAGGACCAGCACGATCACTTTATTTATTTAATCGTTTTGATTAAGGTGTTTATTTTATATTTTTATTTTTTTGTGGGTTTTGTTATTTGTATTTAGTTTGTTATGCGTGCCCATGTGGCGTATTGAAGTTTGTATCATTTTGTGTGTTAGTTTGTTATGTAAGTTTTTTTTTTGTAATTTTATATGAAATTTTTTACTATTTTTTTTCTTTATGTTTTGTACTTATTTTATATTTAATTTTCAGTACATTTTTATATACACGCATCTGAAGAAAATCAGGATAGAAGAAATCAAATGTAATTTATGTTACAGCATATATTAAATGTAAAGTCCTATAGTATCGTAGATAAATATGTACTTATATAATAATATTTAAATATAATTTTTTGTAGTAAATATATATTTTAATATTAATTTATAATTTGCAATTTTATGTTTTTTCATTATAATTTACATTTTTAGCTAATTTGGTTCATTTTCTAGTATTATGAATTGTTGGTTAGATCATCTTTTCTTTGCCTTTGTTTGGTTTTTCAAAATTGCATGTAGACTTTTTTTTCATCGTTAGTGATTTTTTCATATTCATCATTCTTGTTTACGTTTTCATCATCATAGTTATTTATATTTTCACCATATAAGTCAGTATTTTCAATGTAATCATTTTTTTCATCCTCTACCCTTGTATGTCTTGTTGAATTAGAGTTTCTGATAGTTAAATTGGATGTAGATTCATCCTTTTCCTTATTTGCATCTGAATTTGTAGTTTCAGAAATTTTAGACATATTTTCATTAACATTCTGGTGTACAATTAGAAGTTTTGAACGAACAAATCTGTATAATCACTTTGTCAGTTAGGAATTTCCCGATTCTAAGACTTTTCTCTTTATTCCATAATTTATATTGACATAAGAAATATCAATAGCATATATGCATAGATCTTTTTCAGTAATTTCCATTTGACCTATAATAAAAAGCATTGATTCGGTTGATTGAGTATTATTCATCAAGTGTTTGAATCTGGTGTTATGATAAGGAAATACTATTTTAATAATGAAGCTATAATTTTGTCCAGCATAATCTTCAACTAGCACATTAATTATCGCATTTTCATCATCGATTTCTGTTGGCATATCTTGCATGATACTGACAAGTGAAGCTTTCAACAGGCATCTGTTTGAACCAATATCTCTTTTAATTGTGAGATGGGTCAAAGAAGTGACTATTATCTAAATTTTACAATATTATTTTGATAAGTATTTATTATTCATACGCTATTCTAGATTAGATTCACGTAACTTTTAGTTTCAAGTTGTTATTAAAGTTTGCAAACACAATTTTTTCACTAACACAATAAAATTCTTTTTTTTTTGAAAATCGATTGTGTGTTGGGATCTCTCTCCTCATTATTTATTAGAATGAATAAAACCATTTCTAGTTCATGATCTTTGCTTTCGACAGGATAAGTACCAGTTGCATATATTGTTAATTTAGTCTCATCCTTGTAAGTTTATCGTATTTGGTTTATTTTTACAATCATATCAACATGACAAGGCATGATAATTTATTTAAATTTTATGATTATTTTTAATTTTTGTATGCTAAATTTCGATTTTTTTATATTCTTTAGAGATATTATGATGTAATAAATATCTGATATAAAATTCTACTCGTGGAATCCAAAAATTAATTATGTAATTTTACATAAAGTTTTTAGTTTGTATAATTTAATAAAGTAATTCATATTTTATTGTTACAATTAGTTTACTCATGCATTTAAATTATTATTTTTTTTTTTTTTTTTTTTAGTGATCATGTCATATTTTATTTAGAAATAAAGTAGTTACATTATCAAATGCTATTACTACCTCCAGTATTATTACCTTAAAACTAAAATACAACTCGTCTAGTTACCGTGGGTACCTATCCGTGATCTGCCAAAACAAGAGTTTGTCTCCCCCTACGTTAAGACTACCTGCTGAAGGGGTTCACTGACTAGACCTTGCAGCCGATCATGATCGCATCCTCCTTCCTTCACAATTTTTTCCACCTAGATCCGGGCAGAAGAGTAAAAC